GGGTGCTAATTTCAGAGATTGATACCCCTCAAGGAAATGGCGAGATCCTTTCGGCACCTAAAGTTCCTATTGCTAGCAATGCTATGGTCTTGTATTCCTCCGGTAGGGGCAAGGAAAGGGTTCATATAGAAGACGCCTGTCCAATTTCGTCACAGATTGAAGGAGGGGATATGTCTTTCTGGATGGAGGATAAACTATTAAACTTTGGGAAGTTTCTTGGTGTTTCTTTTGAAGGGAAGGAAGATAGGGTGTTAGAACTGTTGAGGGAGATTGAACAACAATCTTGTTATGATGGTGCAGGGAGGGAGTTGGGTCAAGGTGTTAAGCAAAATAATTTAGGGGATATAGTGGTGTACCAGAGAAGGGACCGGGTATGTGATAGGGAAGAAGGGAGCTCGGTTAGAGGGGGTGGGGAGAAGGGGGATATTGTTTCTTATGGAAGTTAAGATTCTTTCATGGAATGCAAGGGGGATGAATGACCTAAACAAAAGGGCCATCATCAAAGTGGGAGTTAGAGAGTGGGGTGCTAACCTAGTTTGCTTTCAGGAGACAAAAATGGAAGTTTTGTCGGATATGATTGTGAGGAGTGTCTGGGGTGGTAGTTGGGTAAAATATGACTGGGTTCCAGTAGTGGGAAGTGCCGGGGGCATTCTTCTAATGTGGGATGATAGAAGTTTGGAGGTAAAGGAGATTAAGAAGGGAGTTTTTTCTTTAGCAGCTCTTGTCAAAGATAGAGTGAGTGGGGTGGAGTGGGGATTTGGGGGAGTGTACGGACCGGTATGAGAAGGGTCCAAGAGTGTTTTTCTGGGAGGAACTGGCCAATATGATGGGGGGATGGGATATTCCATGGGTTCTGGGGGGGGAGACTTTAACACTATTAGATTCTCGGAGGAGAGATTATGGTGTAGTATGATTTTGAGGGCCATCGAGGAGTTTTCTGACTTCATCAATAATCACTTTCTCATTGATCTTCCTCTGTCACGGGAAAGGTTTACTTGGGCCAGGGCGGAGGATTCCAACTCAAGGTCTAGACTT